ACAGGAAAAACACCCAAACATTTGTGTCAGAACAATCTGAGGTACTATTAGTATCCATGTATGAATTAGATCTCACGCTTTGTTTCTAACTTCATCTCCATCCCCAAAACTCTATTATTGTTGCATCAGAATCACTAACAAGCTCAAAACCTGAAGCAACAGACAACTGTACCAATACCATATCTAAATTGTTTTCTCTCTTGCTGTTTTTACAGTGTTCTTGTTGTGGACTGTTGGACAAAGATTGCAAATGGCTTTACATACATGGATCATACAACAGATCTAGGGCTATGGACACAGTCAAACTGTACAACGTGAATAACAACACAACTAAAAACAATTCAACACTTTACAAATGACTTAGTATGCAGCACAGAAAGTCTTGTCAGACAAAGCAATGAAGAACCAACATGTCAAAACAGTCATCATTCTTACCAACTGGATAAACATCCAGAGAAAATTGCATGGAAAAGAAAAAGCCCATTTTAGAACTTAATACAGTTGTTCATGTTCCATCACAATCAGAAGACAGCATAATTAACAGCACATTATTTGAGAATCAAAACTTCCAGCCAGGAAAACTGCCTATGAAGAGACATCAGTAAGCAGAGGTAGCCATAGTATGGAGACCACATAGTTCCTTGTGTCCACATGTTCCTGGTGCACAATGCAAGTAATTGTCAATAGCTCAATCAAGACAGAATGCAGTAATACAGAAGTAAGGACTTACACCATTTGCACAACATAAATGCAAGAGAAGGAGGGAGCTCAGGCAAATACGGTTACAAAGTAGGCTGAGAAGCAACTTGTCTTACCAATCAGAACAGCACTGAGAGTAAGACATGCAGAACTCAGTCAGTGTAAGAAAAATATTATCTAGTAAATAATTTATGCCTGTGGTTAAAGACCAAAATTATGACACCCATTCCTAGTTTTGCCAGCCCTCCTGTGAAATTGTGAGGAAGCTCCATTTCTCCATCGTTAAAATGGGGATCAAAAGATATTCTTGTTACTTGGAATGCTAAAGCTCACTTAAGCTCTCAGATTCTACATACAGGGTACTGCAGGTCTGTTTTCAGTTTTAATTAACTCCTGAATTTTAAGCACAGTGGAAATGAGTGAAAACACAGTTAAGTTAAACTCCAGTGCTTACTTGACCCTTGACCTCTTGGATAAAAGTCCCTCTGGACTAAAATTCCTATGAAAACAGTAACCACAGAGAAACTCAGCTGCATTCATAAGTAAAAATGAGAGCTATGCAAGGTGAAGAAACTCATGTTTGGGATGCATCAATGGAACAGGCAGGAAAGTAACTACAAGGTGTATGAAAATTCTTGCATGCCATGGGAAAAAAAAGTACTGCTACATCAGCTTCTCAGTCAGCTATGAGTTTTAAAATGAGAAATGAAAGAGAGAAGCAACACCTGCTAGCAAGTTAATGCTTGTTATCAGTTCAGGAATTTGTCCTTCCACTGCTATGCTGGTGATGTTGAAAGTCCCAAATACTTACCACCCCACAGGAAGACTTGGTCTTCAACTCTAACTTGACCATTCCAAATCCTGAAAATAAAAGCACACAGCACCTGTTTCACTGAAAGATATAAACAAGGCTTATTTTCAACACACCCAAAGTATGTCAGCTAGGGTACACTGACCTGAATCAGTTTTCATGTTTAAACAGTTGTTGATCATCCTGAGGGTTACAAGGATTATGGGAAGAATGATTGAAGGAATTCTGACAACTCAAAGCAATTCGCCTCATAATTTATAGTCATAACAGATACCAACCATGAAGTACCTCCACCTTCTGTAGCTACCAGCAGTCTAGGACCCATCAATACAGTTAACCATCTCTTCTGATTTACTTAAGTTTACATTTTATTTCTGATTTGGGGGCAGGAAATTTTTCTTCTCTACTCCAAAACAATATGTTTCAACTTACTTCAATCAGTGCCATATACAGAAGTACTACTGCTTTCTTCCTTTTCTGTCTGCTCTGAATCTAGGGAAATATCTAGCCCTCGCGCTAAGTAAAAAAGCTTGAAGTAACTGACTCTAAAGCAGGGAATTTGAGTTCTTAGGAAAGCCTGAACTCCAGGGTGGGAGAGACCAGACCACAGTGCATTTTAGTTTTATGTAGCATATGGATTTGTAATACAAATGAAATCTTTATTGCACACAAACTCAGATTAAAAAAAAAAAATTAACGCTTTCTAGTACTGTTTCCAGAAAAGGGACAAATGCAAATACTGTGAAAATATCTGCACACCAGCTTTAATAGGCTATTCTGATTAACATAAAGGTCACTCTTTCTCAGAAACCTGTTTACTGCCACATGTGGTCTCCTACAGCAATCCACATCAGTATCCCTGATTTGATGACTCTAAATAGAAAAATCAGAAGGTAAAAAAAGAAGGCAGCATTTTTCAGAGACTGTTCTGGAGTGCATATTAATATCAAACCTATAATCTTCCCCTCGAACTCTTTGCCACTGCAGTATTATCATAACACATGTCCAAAGTTCAGAATCAGAAGGGGCTAGATGCTCCAGGGCTCTGCTGCTAAGGTATTAGGGAATGTCTGAGGTACTTGTGTTCTTACAGGGATTTTCAAGATGCCTAAGGGAAAACTATGAAAGGTGATCAAACCATCCTTATCTTACTTACCATATCCCTTGTTGAAAACGTCCCTGGCAGACTTTCCCAAGTCACAGTATGACGGTGGGACAGCCATTGGATCTGAAACACACACAACACTGTAAGAATCCTAGCTCTAACAGCATAAAATGTAAACTATGTCCAAAGCATTAATAAACATCTATGATTAGTAGTCTTTGAATACATCACCAATACAGAACTGTCAGATCTTTGAAGAATGTTCATCAAAGTCATCCTTGCATCACTGTTGCTTTGTCCAAAACAAGCTTCAATTCAACAAATTAAAAAAAAAATTATATAAAAAAAAAGAATTTAGAATCACTGAACCCCAGCTATTACATTCCACTATGCATGCTGGCCTCACAGTCTTACATTGCAAAAAGAACTCACAGGAGCCTTATTGCTGTTCTGATGATGAGGAAACATTGCTTTTGTGACAGGACCCATTCTGAAAGGGACCTCAAGTAGCAAACAATGTCAACACTTAGCAATTCCAAAGGAAAACAGGTCTCGCTTCCATCTGCACTTGTGACTTCATAGAAAGCTTTTTCAGAGATGTGAAAAACAGGAAAGAGATCTCTGTATACTATCCAGTAGCCATCAGTGAGTATTTCTGCACTGTGCACACAGAGCAGCAAAAACTAAATTTGCTAATGGGGGTACATTTCCTAATACTGTTACCACTACATAGAAGAACATAGCTCAAACGGATGGGAATGTAATATTGCAGGACAAATGATACCTTATTTATTAGTTATCACAATTTAGGGATTCTGCATCACAAAACCCACAGTAAAAAAGTAGGCAAACTCTTCCCCAGTGGAAAATTAGTCTTTCTCTTCTAAAATAAGTCTACGGAAAAAAAAAAACCTCCCCAAACACCACCCCGCCCCGCAAAAGAAAAGAAACCTTGCAAAATAAATAACAATAACCGTGAGGCCGGTTTCATGTTTCCTGACGGATGTGGCGGAGCCTTGCCCACGACCACCGCCATGCACCTTTGGCGGCGGAGCCAGAAGGGCGGCGGCTGCGCGGCCCCGGGAGCGCGAGCGTCGCCCCCGCCCCGCACTGCCCGCGTAACGCAGCGGGTAACGGAGCGGGCGCGTTCCGGCGCCGCTTCCTCTCCACGCTGAAATGCCGGCGCCGTGGGAACACTCGGTCCCAGCCGCCGCACAAGTTCGTGCCTCCCGGCCGAGAAAGCGGAGCAGCTGGAAAAACCCCGGCCGCCTGGTGTCAGAGAGAGAGCCGGCCCGCGTCCCTGGGATGCCCTTTCGGCAGCCCGGGGGCCTACGGGCGAGGAACTGCCGCCAGAGCGAGCGGCCGGCGCCCCTTCGGGCCTCTGGCCCAGCCCCGCCGCGGCAAGGTGACTCGGGGGACGCCCGCCTCCGCCTCGGCGAGGTCCAGAGGACGGCACCGGGCTCCAGCCGGACAGCACCGCGAGGCGAGGCCCGGCCCGTCCCGGCCCTACCCCGCCCCGCCGGCTCGGCCCGGCCCCCGCCGCGGCCCCGGTGCTACCTGCCGCCCGCGCTGCCTCCGGTACGGCTCTCGGCGCCCCCCCCCGTCCGCATGCGCGGCGCCACCACTGCGCATGCGCCCAGGCTCCGGCCCCGCCCACCCGTGTCGGCTGCCGCCGCGCGGCCCCGCTCCGTCCCGCGCGCGGCCAAAGCGTGGCGGGAGCGCGCGTGGGAGTGCGCTTGGCCTCCCGCCGGAGCGGAGAAAGGCTGCGCGGCAGCCGGAGCCGCCTCCGCTCTCGGCGATACCAAGTTGTGCTTCGGAGGGACGGGGGAGGCCTGCAGAGGTATTCCGTGCCACAGGCCCCGCGCCCAGGGAGCTGCACGGCAGCCCCGCCTCACCCAGCCTGTCAAGACTCCAGCGGGCACTAAAGGTCGTCTCAAACCCTTCACCTGCCTTATCAGCCAAACCTCCTTAACTCACTGTCAGCCCCGTTGGGAACTTCTGCACAGACAAACCCCTTAGGGCCACTATAGCCCTGAATCAAAGGAAGGAGACAGGCCCACCCAATCTGAAGGTAAGACTCCAACTAGGGCAAAACCAAACACTGACATAATAGTGCAGCTAGTGTCGTTGACAAAGCTCAGCTGTTATTCTGCACATAAATAAGGTTGTCTGTGCACCCAAACAAGAGTATAGTACATGCCAAATTACACAGATTCCCTGTGATAAGGTTCACAACTTTTGCCTCTCATGATTACCAGACATCTTGCAGTCTAGTACAAGTCTAGATGAAAAGCCAGCGAACTGAGATATAGGGAGTGGGGAGAGAGAGAAAAAAAAAAAAAAGACACAATGTATATTTATATAATTCACAAAAAACAAGCAAACTCTCTGAAGAAGCTCTTTTCTCTTTTTACACATAGTAGAATTCACAGATTATGGAGAGAGACTGCAAAGCCAACTAATACTGTGTAATGGCCCAAAACAAAGTAGTCTTCTGGGATACCTGTTAAAAGATGATGGAGAATACATCACTGTAATGCTATGTGCTGTCCAGGAAACATTTACAAACGTGGTAAACTGTTTTTTGATTTTCTAAAATTACAGTGAATAAAATAATAATTAAACACCACTATACATTTGTAGGAATGTGCCCCCTGTTGCCAAATTATCCTTTGTCTCCTTAAAAAGGAAAAAAGCCCAGAAGTTTCTTTCCTCAATTTGGTAAAAAGACACCTCATAGGACCTTTGGGACTTCACCTCAAACCTAGGGCTGCCAACTGGACAGAAGCCAAAGGGTCCCGCCTACGTAATTCACTTGAAAAAGAAGAGAACAAAATATGTAATTGCTTTTGTGGGGTGTTTTAGCAGGAGCAAGAACCTCTTGCCCCTGGCTTGGGTTTTTCTCTGTAAGAGCTTTGTTATTTTGCCTTTCATTAAAACTTTTCTGTTTCCAACACTACCTCAGAAGCCACCCTGCTAATTTTATGCCATTTGAGGTAGCTGGGCTATCTCAGGTGTGACAAGTTCTCTTGAGAGCTCATAAGACCTGGCTCGAGGAGAAAACATATCACACATTAATGATGAAATATTCAATTTGTTTATTCCTATTGATTACTGAAGAAAATACTAAATATATCAGCTATATATATTTTTACAATGAGACATCAAAATACTTCACATAGTACCAAGTTAACTTCTAGTTTTCTTACATACTACTGCATGCATTAGCAATGGGGAACATTCCCAGAAAATAATTAAAACTCCTAACAAGAAAAATGGAAGAAAATAAATGGGTAAGTAAGAGCATCACCTTGTAATCTCCATTACTAAGATTGATCAACTCTCCTTGCATAAGAACAAGTTGAAAATGTAGTTGTTCTGTATGCTTAAGCAAGATGAAAATAACAAACAGTATTCAAATACAGTAGCACCAATACATTCCATGCTCATGCTCTGTAACACATGGAGGCTAGTAGTTTACTACTTTGAAAATTTTAAGTTAACCAACAGAATCCCTGTCCAAATACAATTAGTAATGCATTCTTGAAGAGACTTTGTCTCACATCCAAAATACTCATAACCTTTCCCAACAATTAAAGGGGGGGTATAAAATGAGATTTGACAGATTTCCATATAAAAAAGGGCAGATTGAATCTACAGGAGCAGTACCAATTCATCAATTAATCAGACCAAACTGAACAAAACACAGAGCACTGCAATCAATAGTACCACAACATATCTAGTAACAAAATTCAGTTCACATGCAAGAGGAGAATGGCCACCTTAGCAAACCGCCCATATTTTGAAAGGTTTTAGAAATCAGTACATAGGAGCAACTCATCATGAGCTTCAGCACTGCACCAAGACACTTAACACAGGTATGACGAGACACAGAGACTAGTGGAAAATAGTACTCTTCAGGAGTACTTCACGATATAGCCTGCTTTTTCATTTGGTATCTACATATATATAAGACACAAAGAGAGATGCTGGATGCTCCATCCTCAGAAATATTTAAGGTCAGATTGGACTGGGCTCTAAGCAATCTTCTCAAGTCAAAGATGGCGCTGCTCATGGCAGAGGGACTGGACGACATGACATTTAGGGGTCCCTACCAACCCAAATTATTCTGTGACTATATGAAAATGAAATCGCACAGGATTTATCTTCACTGCGTATTCTGTTCAAGTGCCATGGACTTGCTTTAGATATCAGTAATATACAGTTTTTCAAGTAACATTCAAAGTAAGACTACGCATTTTCACATCTTCATAACAAGCTATGAAAGTATTTCTGTAGGCTATAAACCTAGACAAGCAGTTAGTTATTCACTCCGATCCTTTGGCTCTCGGTATTTCCACTGGATATAGTCAAAGATGTCTTTTTCACATTCTACTGGCAGGGCCTCTCCAGCAACCCCTGCAAGCAAATTACACAGGGTATTTGAAAGGTGGAAAGTTTATACCATTCAGAAATGCCAAATGCATTACAAGATTAAGACAAAACTTCTGTAGGTAAAAAACCCTGAAGAACCCACCCAGAACAACATCCCTGCCCTCCGTGAAATTTTCATAGTGTTTACATACTAATTCTTATTAGTGTCAAAGGAAATAAGGTAATGAATTAACTTTGGGGCCAAGTGGTTACACAGTTAAATACATTTATAATTGTGCATGGGTATATATAATCACATCTCCTCTAAAGCAAAGCAACTGAAGGACACAACATACCCTGTGAAAAGAGTAGGAAACTAAATATGTGCTGTGCATAGCACAGAAAAAAAAAATCATTAAATCAACTAAGACTTTAAATAGATGAGGAGATCCAAATAGGTAACTTTGTGCCACAGAGCTGCCTGTATGTAAGGAGGCTGCCCCTTCTTGCTGTAATGGTGCCCAATATAAAAAAGGACACCATGAAAAATTTCACAAAGTATAGTATGCGAAGAGCGCTGGACACCAGGACAGTTTGGATGGATGGAGACAAGAGATTTCTGAAGTCTGGTCTTAGAATATGTGGTTTATTATAAAGCATGAGGGGCCCTGCTTGGAGTTGCCAGGTGCAACTCGTGGCAGGCCCTAGGGAGTGGGGGCAGGGAGAGGCAAGGGATAGAGGATGCTAGGAGAGGGTCCCAAGAGGAAGTTCCAAGAGAGGGTCTGGTCCTTTGGGCACTCCTTATCAGAGGGCTTCAAGGTGGGCTGGAACAGGACTTAGGCCAATGGGGTTACAGATACCCAATGCTTCAGGGGAGGGTTACAGGTGTGGGGTGAACTTTACATTGGGGGGGTGAGACAGAACATTCCATTTGACTTTTGGACCTAACTGTAGGTAAAGGGCATTGTTTAATCAGAAAGGGGGAATTGCTTTCAACTGGCTGTACTATTGTTTTCTGGTTGTTCAGTAACTAAGGTTTGGTATCTCAAAACTTGTTATCATCTCAATATCTGTATTTTCTAGATCTTTTGCCAGGCAATTCTATTTATAAGGCTTTCCTATTTCATCTTCCCCAACAATAGCATTTATCAGAAGTATTTCCAAAACAACTGCAACCAATTGAATGAGATCACAAGAAGTGCGTAACTCAAAAGAATACCCTGTGCAAAAACTCAGACTGACCAGTAACACCCAAGCGGCGTATTGTATATTCATTGATTGTGAAGCCCATTTCCAGAGCATGAGTTCTCATGTTCTTATTGAATATATCACTTCCTGTGAAATACAGTACACCACAGTAATACTGATCTTTCGGGATAAGCCTAGAATAAAAAGGAGAAGTGAAGACTTAGAACAAATATACAACAAAGAAGTAACAAGCCATTTAGAATTCAGTAGTTCCGACACTTGTAGGTTTACTTTGTATTTATGCATTTACATTGTGCAACTCCGTACATTTGATTTTCCCACAAGCCAGATGTGAAAGTGAAAGGAACTGCGTATGAAAGAAAGGTTCAACAGATCTACCCTTACCCAGAAGTTACTGGTGCTCAGCCACTACCTGGTTATGGTGCTTGCACTTCTGCCAAGAATCAGTGTCAAAGCAGCACAATAAATTAGGACATAATTCTGAATCTGAATAGAATATCATGATTTGAAGCACAGCATTATTGCTAATAACCTGTTGTAATTACTGGCAGTTGCCCAGTGGCTGCCATACTCAAAAGCATTATAAACCTAGTAAATGCCATGTTCTGAACATGGAATTACAGATTTGAATGGAAAAAAAAAAAAAATGATGCAAATGCCTACTCTGTAGCAGACAGCTAAACTAGGGTTTTGGGTGGGGGGATTTTGATGCATGTACCGGATATCAATTCTGCGATGTGGATAAGCAGTTCCATCTTCTTTATCTGGCAGCTGACAGACACCCTATCAGGAATTAAGGCAAGAGAGAAATTCAGATTAAATTAAACAGATTTGAGAACCATCTTTACCTCCCCACCCCTAAACAACTTCTAAATAATCCTCAGCCATCCAGGAAAGCAAAGTTAAATTCCTGCTGAGTTGAATAAATATTTTACTAGAACGGCCAGATATCAGAATACAGTGAATCACTATTTTACACTGTTGTGAGTACTGTTGTAGCATACAACTGCTTAAATTTTTATTGCACCAGGAAGAGTCCTAATTTCCCTGTCCTCATTATTATCAGGCTTTTCAGGATGTACAAATATCAGCAGGTTAAGAAAAGAAAAAAAGCTCTGCACTGTCAGCATGGGAGCTAAAAAAATAATTTTCTTGTGATTTATTACTTGCTTTAGGCATCCCACATAATCCCTATTATATCCTAAGTTTAGTAGCTTATCCATTAAATCTGTTCTACAGCAAAACTGACAAAAAAGGAGACAAAAGTGTATTATATATTAGACAAAAACAGGTAAACATAGCTCTGAGATCAAAGCTAAATATTTCCAAGATCCTGAGGACACAATTACAGAAGTGGTCACTGGTGCAATTAAAGACGTGCTGTTATGCTGAGGTTCCAGGAAACCTCAAGCAATACAGACACAATTGACAATATGTGATAAAGGTTATGTCAGCAGGGTTTAGAACTACACAAATACCTGTACATGTTCTAATACTGAAATCTTACCATAATGTATTCCCTAGAAGTTAACTGCAGGAAATTCTTATGAGATACAAGCAGGGGAGTTAAATAAACAAACACACATCATCCCCAGTTCCAGCAACCCAAGCAATTGTATTCATCCTAGCTTCTGGCAGGAAAAGTAATCCCCCCACAACATCCTTCACCACCAAAAAAGCTCTTACCATGAATTTTGTGTCACCTTTAGACAGCATATCTGTGACAAAGTGGACTTTTTCCAGCTGTTCTACAACCTGATGCAAAAGTTTTGACTAGGAACAATGGTAACAAAGAAGAAATTACTTCACAAGTAAGATAACAAGACTATCTTACCTATTTACTAGATAGAGACTCCTATAAGTACAGGACATCATCATAATTATATGTACTATTCTACAACATGAAATTTGACCCAAACAAAAAAAATGTAACAATAATACTGGAAAAAAGCTAATAAAATTAAAATTGTGCAACATAAAAAATTTCTATCAATACCCCCGAGTGAGATCGCCTTTAGTTGGAAAAGGCAAATCTAATTCAGCTTTTAAACAACAAATCTATAGAAGGAACGCAATGGAAAAAAACCCACTATCATTAATACTACTTCAGTGTTAGTCCCAAAAGATTGCAAGGGCAGCAGGACAGTTTCTTATCATCTAAATGATTATGACTACATAAACAAATAGTCAGTCTACCTTTAATCCAGCTAGCTTTACAGTTCTGCATTATTAAAGCACATTAATTCACGGCGGTGGGGGAATATATGTGACAGGAAAAGGAAGGAGAGAAGGGTAAAAATAAGCATATTGACTAGTTCCGCAAAAGATGTGCAACGTAATATACGGACCTGAGAAGTAATTGTAACTCCTCAAAATAAACATGGCAATCCAAGAGAAATTCAATATTCAGTAATTCAGTTCAATATTACAGTAAATACAAAACCACAAAAAGCTGCAACACAAGTCTGAGATTATATGCAATGTACAGTTCTGATCGGTGGCATCTGAGAAATGCACCTGTTTGGATGATTCGGATGTGAAACTGGGATGGGTTAGGAGAACATCCATATCGCCACTTGACTCTGCACCTAGGCAAGAAAGAAGCAAAGAAAAATCCTGTGTGTGGCAAAGTATGCTAATGTTGGTGAATGTATATCTTACCTCTTCTTGTAAACATGTTTTTCTAGCAGGGAATGGTCACTATTAGAGATATTAGCAAAACAAAAAATAATCTTAAAGTAAAAGAATCTTGTTCTTTCAATAAAAGTTTATATTCTCCATACATAAGAAAATATCCAATAATTTCTTGTTGCACTCTATAGCAATGAAACACAAATGTTTTTAATGTCAAAACAAAGCAAACAATTCACGTTAAAAGATTCTACTCTTTATGGGGTAAGGATGGAGGAGCAAGGATTTATGCAGGCATCTCATCACTGAACTAGCTAGTCAAGACAATACTAACAGGAAAGGCCAGGTTCCAGCACAGTCTGTCAAGAACAACAACATACATTGTAACTTGTCTTGCTTACTATCCCAAAATAAAGATAACAAGATCACAGAGTACCAACCTCGCCTAAAACTGCCACAGACTGTAGCAATATAGTTTGGGTCCAGTTTCTCTATCTCTTCGAGCACAATTTCCTATGTAAAAAGGAAAGAAGTGTGTTTAGAGGTGGCCAGTCATTCACTGGCCATCAGCACATCACATCCTTAACGAGATTTTTACCTGCATTTGGAGCATTTCTTCTCTTGGGATTCTTTTCTCAAAATCTTCAAAGTATCTGCAAATATAAATATAGAAGTATCTGAAAGAGTGGCAGGGGCAGCATTTTAAAATTTTAGTCAATTAAACATTTATCAGAGGAAAGAATAGTAACTTACACCACTGTCACATCACAAAAAGCTCCTCTCATCAAACATCTTAGAAAACATCTTGCAAGGTGACAGTAAAATCTCACAACTGCAAGTTTGACAATACTCAGAACACTGTTTCAGCATTTCCACTGTATGTGAAGAGCTGCTATGAGGTAGGAGAAGTATTACTATATAACCAATTGCTTAATATTTACATAGCCCCTGAAAATACAGAAGGTTCCTGACAAAACTCAGCCCACTTGCGAGCAATAGGAACAGGTTTCCCACCCATAGTCAGAGGAGACCTGTGTTGGAAGGAGCTAAATGGAAGCTTGCAACTCAAACACAGCTCCAGATATATTTGCCTTCCACCATAAAACTCAAATTGTCAACATGCTGCTTGACTGTGGAGAAAAAGAGGGCATGTGAAACACCATTTGGCTTTATTTGGTTCACTTGCAGCTTCTGACAAACACAGCTATAGTTCTTCCAGAACTACCACACCAAAGAGACAATCAACGAACAGCAATCAAGCTGATGAATACTGAGGGACAAACACACATTCTGCACAGCATTCTCACATTCAGACATGCAAACGTTACCTTGTTCACAGCACATAAAAAACCAGCCTGGGCCACTTCTATGCAGATTGTAAAGAAACAACTCCACAACCTCGCTAAAGTGATTATCCATGAGCTAACTGAAGAAGCCATTTGTTATTAACTTACCTCTGGAGACTAAGCCTTCCAACCCAAATGAAACAAAAACTCTAAATAACTGCTGAAAGGCATATAGAGCACAGAGAGAAGAGAACCTTACTCAGTCTGTGTAACCTTACATTACATCCTGGTGTCTGAAGGAGTCATTAGAAACACCAAGCACTTGTACCCAAGAAAGCTTACTTCAACCCAATTCGCTGGTGATGGGTCAGCTTGTGCTCAATTTTTCTTAGATCTAGAAAAAAATTCAAACAAAATAGTTAACTGAGGACTAAAAATCTTACAGTAAGTTTCCATCAGTGCAAAGATGATGCATGTAAAGAATACATAAGGAGAATACAACCTCAAATGAGGGAATTTCAAACTACCTACACAGCAGCTGATAGGATGACCACAAATGCACAGAGCACTTCCAACAAAGACTTAATAGACCACCAAAATATTTGTTACCTTCCATGTAACCTGCACGTACTTTACTTTGGATATGTATGAAATGCCTTAAGCCTGTGTACTAGCTTTAGCATCTTACATGCCCTCCTTAAAGCCTAGGGCATATATGCTACCACAGGACCACTGTAGAAGAGGCAGCTTGACAGGAAAAAAGATTACTGGAGTGTGAACCAAGGCCCCATATTCACTTACCTTCTAAAGTCTTAATTCCTTCCTCGACAAACTTCCTAGCAGCAGCAGGACTGCAAAGAGACAAGGCAATCTGGCATTAGGAACAGCAAGAATCTTACAACACTGAACATTAGAATGATTTATAGCTGTGTAGGTTCTTAAAGGCTAAGACTGAGGTTGCTTGTGATGCTTACATCTTTTCAGCATACTCATTTTCAGTTTACGCTTTTGGTCAGCAGAGATCCAATGTTTGGCCTGCACATTTTTTAGCATTGATATAACTACACAGTGATATATAAGAAATTTAAAAAGTCACAGCAAATAGGCAATATTGCTTCAGACAGTAATACCAAATGCGTGATAACATTGCAGCAAAGTTCTGATGGGCTTTTTTTGTTTGTTTTTGTTTTGTTGCCTCCTTCGAGGGTCTGCTTCTCCTTTTAAGAAAACCCTGAAGCCAGAGTCTCACTTCCACAGTTCCATTCTTGACCTGCATCTCTCTCCTTCCCCTCTCAGGAAGCTTCCCACTTCCACTCCTGTACCACAAAGTCCGTAGATCAGCATTCTATACCCTTTTGCCTCATTCCATCCTATAATCATGACTACAGTGTGTCGGTGTGGGCATTACATCATCAGCTCAGGCCTATTCTCTTCACTATGTGCAATTACCCAAATTCTGCTAAGTCTACCAAATGAACAGGAACAGGGAAAAAAAGCCCAAAAAACACCCCAAGAAACTTTTACCCAATGCCAGTGACTCGTGTCAGGAAGTTGATAGAAGCACTTGTATCATCTTGTCGAATCTACAAAAAAAAAGCAAAAACAGTGCAACCCAAATCCTTCTTTACTCCATTTGCAATAAGCAAACAAATAAAAAGAAGCCTTGAGAAGATAAAATAGCTTAGTCAGACTCTGATTTGGAGGTTCACTGTAAGTCACTGCAAAACAGTACCAAGGGCAGTGTGGCGCATCACAATGCCAAATGTAACTAGCCTGAAAACCACCCAACTGGCCACACTAAGGCAAACAGCAGGCCTAAAGCACAGAACTCCAAAGCCTTTCAGCAACAGATTTCCACTTCTGACAGAGGAGCTGCACATGCTGATTATGTAAGTTAAAATATTTTAATAAATAGACAGTTTTGAAGCTTTGGCTGAGCTTCTCAATTTTTGATTTCTACTTACCATACACTCCTGTGTTCACCACTCCTAAGACTCTCCAGGGACAACAACAGCAATGTGCAGAACAAATGGGCTACTTTGCAAGTTATCAAGAAAAGCAGCTATTGAGAGATACAAAACACGAGAAAGAAACCCACCTTTTCCAATTTACGTAGTTTTCCAGTGGATAAGAACTCATCTATCTTTTCAGCTATTTTAGCACCCACTCCATCCTAAATATTGGGGGTGAGTACAAACAAGTTAACTTAAAAATCACTTAAAGTCATTACATGTGGAGTAAGAGAGCAGAGTGGAAAGTTATTTTTACAGGCAGAGGCTCAGATGGGATGCCCAGTTCCAGCTCTGAAACCCCTACAATGGCCACACCTCGTCCGCGTCCCCCAACTCTGACTCAGGTACCGGAAGGAGGCGCTGGCAGAAGCGGGGCTGTTCCCACGCTTCCCAGGAACCCCCGGCACCTCGTCCCTGCTCCGGCTGCCCCAGATCCTCCCGCCGTGTCCCGCAACCCGGACACGAGCACCTACCAGCTTCTTGGCTTCGGCCCCGCTCTGTATCTTGCTCGGATACCGAGAAATGACCGAGGCCGCTTTCCTACGGAACACTGCCGGTCAGCGCCCGAACGGGCTGGGGCCCGGGACGGGGGCGCGGCGGGAGGGAAGCGGTACCTGTACGCATTGTACTTGTGGATGGCCCGGTTGACGTTGCGCTCGTAGTTGGCCAGTTCTGCAGGAGAACCGCGGTGAGAACAGCCCGGCTGCGGCCTTCCCCACCCACAGAACAGACCGAGCGCACACACCTACCGGTGAGGAAGTCGGTGATGCCCTCGTTGGGGCTCTCCTGGGGAGCTTTGCGCTTGCTCATGGCCGGCACCGGCACGGAGCGCCCGCCGGAGCTGCACGCAGCGCTCGCACGGAGGCGCTTCCGGCAGTGGCGTCACGGCGCGTCCGGTCTCGGTGCGCGGGTGGAGCATCGGCCGGTGGTCGGTGTGCTGCTCGACATTAGTCTGCCGTGTCCCTGGCCCTCCTCACGGCTTGATGCCATAGTAGCTCTTTTTGCCCAAGTAGCCAAGTATCATGGGCTTCAGGTGACATCACCTGGGTGTCGAATGTCCGTACTTACCGACCCAGCCCACTCATACGCCTCTTCCCGCGCACAGCACGCATTCATCTGCCCCACCTTATCTGAGATTTTTGGCTAGTCTGCTTTAGCAGCACTGTTCAGGCTGCACTGGCAGCTATGGTCTAATATCACAGTAGCCCAGTTTCAAAACACTAGAATACTGAGTTCCAAAATACCGAGGTAATCCAGTTTTACAATACCAGAATTTCACACTCCAAAATACAGCCACACACCCAGTTTGTAAAACCAACACCTCCTGCTCTTCCTCTTCCCCAGTGATCAATGGGTCAGCATTCCCGGTCTTTGAGCACTCCCAGTTGTACCTACCCAATGGAAATGGTTTAAGATAATATAACACAGGGATAATTTTGGGGAAAAGCATTTCTAAACCAGAACGCACTGCCCCATTTTCCTCATTTTAAGGGCTTCACTTGAAGGGAGCACTGCTTTTTTTCAGCATTGTAAGGGTTTAAAACTGCATTTCAAGGCACTTCTATCCATGCCCCAGGACCAAATATCTCAGACAAGGCATTTCCTTAACCCTAATGCTACCTGGTAGTCTATTATTTTCCACATTTTTATTTAAAATGTAGATAGCCCTAATTAGAGACCCGGAACTTTTGGAGGTGGCCGCCTACTCAGGGCCACAGGCCCCTGAAAACTATTGCCGTCCCTTTTCCCTCTGAAACAAAGCTTGCCACCCCAGTGCCTGATGTCAGTTTGCAGGGTGCACTTGGGACTGTCAGGCAGCACAAGATTGAGGTGGTGGCAGCTTGGATCTGGGACACATCCTTGACATCCGGAATTTCAGGAGGTGGCTGGCCACTCAGGGTCACAGGCCCCGAAACACAAACAATGGCCCTTTTCCCTGTGAAACAAAACTCGCCACTCCCAGTTCCTGATGTCAGTTTGCAGCAGGTGCAAACTGCTGATTGCCCCAGCAATCAGAATTGTATTTTGCTGCAGCTTTGGTTTAGGAGATATGTGGTGCCCCCTCCTATTCTCAACCTCCTCCCCTCACCCCTGTTCTTCTCTGTCCCTGTTTCCCCCCCTCACCTCTATCTGTACTTCCAGCCCACCCTACCCCACTCTCTCCACCCTTCACCACTCCCCACCCTGCCCCATCCCTCACCGCCCACCTGTGACTCCCAGCAGCACCACATGGGAGCCCGAACTTGGGATAGTGTGGTCCCAGCAGCAGGACAACACTGAAATAAAACAGGCGGGGATGATATCTGTGAGCTGCACGGTGTCACAAAGGGACCTGGGGCTGAGGGGATGGGGCTGGAGTGTGGCATAGAGGGTGGGGGCAGCTGAGAGGCAGAAGGGGTCTTTAGGAGTAAAAAGGGGGGCTCCAGGGTGGCACAGAGATGCTGAGAGACTGTGGTGGGGGAATGGAGGGTGACAGAAGGAGGCTGAGGGGCAGGGGTTGCCTTGAGGGACAACGTGGGGGGTGCCTGATGGTAACAGGTGAACCAGCCTCACACCACCCTTAACCTCACCCTAAAAACCACCCCTCCCCGGGTGGGGAGTGCACAGTGAAGTTTAGGGGGCCAAGGGACAGTTTCAGGGGTTGGGGTGACACACAGACATTGTGGGCTGAGGGGAAAAAAGGGAGGACTTGACAGGTGGAGAGCTGACACTGAGGGTTAGGGGTACAAAGGACAGGACACAGGGTACCAGGAAGGGTTAGGGTATAGCAGCAGCCCTCACCCCAAACAGCAACCCTGAAACACCAGTTTTCCCCAACAGCAGCTGCAGGCAGTGACCCTAATGATGGGACAGCCCCAGACCCCTCCCAGCAGCTGCAGGCAGTTATCCTAATTAAAAGGCAGGGATGATGTTTGCTGGCTTGAGAGTGACTGGTAGGGGTTGAGGACTAAGCACTTTTTTTTTTTTTTTTTTTTTTTTTTTTAGGGTTTTTAAAAGCTTTTTCAAAGGATATTCTAGAGGTTTTCTTTCAGGAGCTTTTTTATTAATTTTCTGGGAATATTTGCGATACTTTTAGGGCCTTTTCAGGGCTTTAAAAAGTTTTTTTTTAAGGTATTTTAAGGGCTTTCTTGGTAACTAGAATTTTTAGGGTTTTTTTTTTGAGTGTTCTTGGGGCTTCTTCAGGACTGCTTGAAAATTTTAGGGCTTTTTTAGGACTATTGGGAGTATATGGAGGACACTTAGGACTAGGGTATTTTTAGGTTTTTTGAGGCAAGTTTTAGGTTCTAACAGGGTGTTTTAAGGATTTTGGGGGTATTTTTAGAGCTGTTTTAGAAATGTTTATGGATTTTTTTTAAAGGTTCTTTGGAAATTTTTAGGGGTGTTTTAGGGTTCTTTTAAAAGTAGGGTATTTTTATTGTATTTTAAGAGTATTCTGAGGCTATTTTTATGTTTGTGTTGGGTTTTTAGGACATTTTGAAGATGAGCGTTTATTAGGGCATTTTTATGGTTTTCAGGGTCTTTTCAGGGCATGACACAGAGGCTGAGGGGCAGCTTGAGGGGCACTGTGGGGGCTTGAAGGTGATGGAGGCTGGGAGCTGAGGGAGGAACAGGGGAGGGGACAGTGGGTGACACAGAGAGATGCTGAGGGGGGCAGGGGCAGCTGGAGGGTGACACGGAGAAGCTGGGGGCTGAGGGGCAAAGGAGAGGGATTAAGGGTGGCACACAGGAGCTGAGGGGCAGCTGAGAGGGGGCTTGAGGGGCGAAGGGGGGCTCAAGGGTGACAGCCAGAGCCTGAGGGCTGGGGGGCAGAGGGAGGGGTTAGGGGTAAAGGGTGAGGGCTTGAGGGCTGGACAGTCCAGTGGAGATCCGGGCTACAGGGTACAGCTTAGGAGGCAAGTTAGGGTACAGGTGCAGCACCCCTCACCCAGCCCTAACCTCACCCTAAGCAGCCTTTTCCCTTTTCACCCCTAACAACAGCAGCACAGCACAGCAAGCCTGACAGCGAGACCACACCAGAAGCATCCTGCTGGGACAGGGCAGCGACCCTGGCACCAGGACAATGCCAGAACCCTCAGAGGACAACAGAACCCACTGCAAAAAGGTAGGGATGACATCTGTGGGCCAGAGAGCAACAGGAAGGGTTTTGAGGCCGAGCAGGCTTCCTTGAGTTTTTTTACAGGACTATTAGGAATATTTAGGGGAATTTTAAAGGCTTTTTAAGACTTTTCTGGTGTCTTTTGGAGTATTGTTACACCTTCCTAATGGCTATTTTAGAATTCCTTGGTGCATTTTTAGGGTCAGGATGAGGGTCATACAGGATGCCCACTGAAAATGCAGAGTAATACTGCAATGCAGTGGAATGCTTAGGAAAGGTGCCAGTGGAGGGGCAGTGGGTCAGGTCCCATGCTGCTGGTCTGAAGGTTGTGATTTCTGGGCCCAGTTAAGTGGTTGTAGTTAGGGTTACAGGCTGTCAGCTTTCTCGAGGAGAAATCCAGCACACAAAAAATCAAGCCCCAGGTGTCATACTGTCAGTTTGCAGCAGGCATTTGGCATGAAAAAAAATCCCTGAATACTTGGGGGTGACAGACTTGGTCTGGGAGAAATCCTGCACTGTTTGGAAATTGAGGAGGCAAAAGGCCACTTGGAGCCTGACATCCTGGTAGGGGTGAAGGGCCCTGATCATGCATGAGGGATATCTAGCTTGTGAAACAAAACTTGCCAGCCCAGTTTCCTGATGTCAGTTTGCAAGGCGTGCTTAGGACTGTCAGGGCAGCACAAGTTTGAGGTGGTGGTAGCTTGGGTCTGGGACACATCCTTCATTGTTTGGATTTTTTGTAAGTGGCTGCCCACTCAGGGCCACAGGCCCCTGAGTACAAACACTGGTCCTTTTTCATGGAAAAGAAAATTTGCCATCACAGGTTCCTGATGTCAGTTTGCAGGGTGCGCTTGGGACTGTCAGGGCAGCACAAGTTTGTGGTGGGGGCAGCTTGGGTCTGGGACACATCCTTCACGTTCAGGTTTTTTGCAGTCATCTGCCCACTCAGGGCCACAGGCCCTGGAGCATAAACACCGGCCCTTTCCTCTGGGGAAGAAAACTGGCCACTGATGTGGGCGCCAGGGAAGACAAGCACCAAACAATATGATTGAGAAGCAATCTCCCACTTTATTCAAAGATATCTTAGCTTATATAGGTTATTCTACAGGCATAGTCAGCAGTAAGCTCTGATTGGTTAATTTACAAAGGTCTTTGTTTTACTTCTCCTACATGTAGCTAAGTTCTCCCAGCCAAGTTTGTCATCTCTAAGTCATGCCTTCCAAGGACAGGGCATATCTTCAAGGCTATGCCTGTCCTTATTATCTCGTTTCCAGACCTTGTACAACTATGCAGTTTCCCAGGCCTCAAAACAGAGATTGGTTCCCAAGATTGTTGTTATCATGCTGGCATGGTAGCGTGGAGGAAGGTTTTAGAAAGGCCTTGGGAATGGTAAACTGAGGAAAAGGATACATTCATGTATGCCCCATTGTATTAGAAAGGCCTTGGGAATGGTAAACTGAGGTAAAAGATACATTTATGTATGCTCCACTGTCTCGGGAAAGTCCCGCTTCAGCATTCCTCTGTAGACCCCCTTCTCCCCACCCCTG